ATAATTTTAATTTTTTGCTACTAACCAAACTTGTTACTATATAGTGCCTTTTCGAATAGTTACTTATTAGAAAAAAAATTATTTTAAGCATGATACCTTTTATTGGCCAATTTATTAGATATATTATTTATACTAGTTCATTAGCAACGATGCATAATCCCTCAACATCAACTGCGCGATTTATTCTTATTGCCTTTTCAAGAATTCTACTCACAAGAACCTCTTCCTCCGAAGGTCTTGCATTTGTTTTTGAATTTTGATGACATTAATAGCGATTTAAATAGAAATATCATGAAAAAAAAAGATAAATCACAGCAGCCTACCTTCCTGATTCAAGACCTGCGAATGCCATTGGTGACAATTCTGTATTCAAAGTCAGGATTCCTTCTGTTGGACGGTCAGGATATGGACGAGTGACTTCACATGAAACTTTAGCTAGTACTCTAATTTATAAAGGAGAAAAGAAGTCATGTATAATGTAAAGATTTTAAATTAAAAAAAAAAAAAAAAAACTATTACTTTGTAGCACCAAGTTTAACTTCTGAACGTCCATATTCTGGTCCAAGAGTAATCTTTAATGGTCTAAAATCGTTCATGCCACGTCCATCAAGACGGATACCTTCCTTTAATCCTGATAGAATCAATTCTTTTTCATTCGTCGAAGGATCTGACTCTTTGACCATGGCAAAGTTTATTTAAGCACGTACAATCTTAAATTGGTTTTTGATTTGATTGCACATTAAATGATCAGCAAAGTAGTACAGAAATTACTTTTTTGATGCATCGAATGTTGTGTTTTTGATGCATTTGAATAATTGTTCGGGTAGCTAGCTGGAATCTCCAATGTATTCGGACACTCTTATTGAGTACCATAATAGTATAAAAATTATTATTACTAATTCATTAACTGTTTTTCAACAGACCACTTTTACTAATAATTAATCATTATCTTCTTTTTCATCCTATTTCATATTTCTTCTCTTATTTATGCGAATTTCTTCTGTACTTATCTCTGGTCTGACTGCATTGCATCACTTAATCTGAAACCATGTTACGCCCCGGGCTTACAACGGTTCTCGTTTTCCTAGTGTAAATAATATATCTAATAAATTGGCCAATAAAAGGTATCATGCTTAAAATAATTTTTTTCTAATAAGTAACTATTCGAAAAGGCACTATATAGTAACAAGTTTGGTTAGTAGCAAAAAATTAAAATTAT